CCTATCTTTAATGCCTTTCAGTATTCGCATCTTATAAATGTTTCAGGGTCATAGACCGATAATCCACTGTAAGAACTTCATGGTTATCAAAACCACAACAGACATTCTCAGATAAATTTATTCTGGGATAACCAATTTCTTTGGTTCTTTCAACCAAGCAGTCCTGTTTTAAACGGATCAACAATTACCACAAAAAGCATCCTTTCCTCGCTGAATACACCCCGGCCCATTATGGCTGAGGCTCTATTGAATTCCACACTTTTAAATCAGAAATGTTATTCGGACCACTTCTAGAAAGTTGAAAACAAAAGAATTGACTCTCTAAAAATTTGAAGAGTACTTGAATGCAAGGAAAAAAACCACATACGATAAGAAAAAAAGTGATCTTAATTTTGGTTAAAAAAGTACCATTATCACAAGATTTTCATTTTTTTAATATATTTTCTTCTAATTCCTTCAATTTGACATAATGCAATTTATTCGAAAAATTGTGTGAGCTCGAACAAAGAAGTCACCTTATTCAATCTTCAATTATTTACAATTTACAAGTTTTTCAATTCTGCAAATTAAACTTATCAAATATTTATAAGACGCTGAAAACACATGACAGTTTTTTTTTCATGCGTAAAGATAAATTTAGTACAATATGGCGTCGAGCATGCGCACTGCACGCGTTATTGCTGAAAACAAACATGCCAGTTTTATTAGAGAATGCCTAAGAAATAATATGAAATTAGAATTGGCACCTTCTGCTAATATATAGAGGATATTACATGGGCGGGCGGATATACGGATTTTATCTTCGAGTGTTGAAAAGATCTTTTCAACACGAGAAGATGAAATTCGTATCTCCAAGCGACGATGTAATATCTGTTCATCATATAATTACATAATTTTATAATTACAAATTTTGTCGTAAAAATACCCTTTTTCTTACTTCCACTATATAGAAAAACCTCTAATGTGTTAGTTTCACTAGTGAAAATAACATGTGATGCTCATTCGGAGAAGCATCGCATTTTTTAAGAACTGAAATCCTTTTTAAGAATGCTTAATTTGTCTAGATGTAGGAATATGAGGGAAAATGATTCATTGTGCGACAAATGCGTAATATTGAATGCTATCGTCAGAACGAAGCTTGACAGTATTGATCAAGACAACAAAAACAAATCAGAATTGCCCTATTTCATTATGACGTCACAGTATGTTTACATCGGAAAACGATGCTCGAAAAACAGTGGAAATTTAGACCCATTTATATTGTCTACTAAAGTAGAACCTCAATGAATCGCGTTTTGATATACATCATGTATAAATTATTGTTCATGTACATTTTATTTGAAATGCAGTCACTCTGATCCCTTCTGGCGACCATAATCCTTAGCGTTCAAACTATAGAATGTTTTG